ATGGATTGTGACGTTCCAATACTCTTTTTCTTCACCACATTGTTTCTACAAAATTTACAATATTGCCAGATCAAATTCAACTCATCAATGCACATTTCTTTATTGAAAAAAATAGTTTAATTCCAAAATGTTTATGGTTCATAGGATAAAGATATTGATTTGCACTGATGTGGTTTTCCTTACATTTCCTACAAAAAGAGATCTGCTGACCTGAAACATACTGCCAGATATTTCTCCAGCAAAAATGGGTTTATTGGGGATCAGTAGAGAACTAAAGTTTGGGGTCTGCATCCATGGTGAGTCAGGTGCAAATCCTCACAAAGTAAGAGAAAGAAGTACTTTATATAGAGAAAAAATGTATAAAAGCTATAGCAAATAAGAGTCCTTGCTTTTCATTGCTTGAGTCCTTGCTAGGAAAGAAAAATCTCTCTTCTTCCTCTCCTTCCCGTTGGGCTCTGCTAGGGGAAGAGCACCCTCCTTTTTGGTTTCCCAACTATATTTAATTGAGGTTTCTGTTTATTAATTTTTAACAGATCTATGGATTGAAATTCATAGGGGGGAAGGGAATCTCATCTTTATGTTAATCTGAGTCTCCTAGCTTCAGTTTAACACATTCTCCATGTATCCTCTTTCTCAAATTCACTCTCTAGAAAATTCTGCCCTCCTACCACAAAAACTTTACTTTATTCCCAGGTAGATACATTTGTTCTTGAAACTTCTCTGCAGCTCACACAATTTAAAAGTGTGAGTCAAGTAGCATCAGGTTTCAACTGAGGTGAAAACAATGGGGAAAGATACATTCTAATTTCCTTTTAGTTTCCCATTAGTGGGATCTATAGGACTGCAGATTGCTTTCACACATTGAGGACTTGCTTTAAATACATTTGCTGAACTCGGTCCCAGAGTTTCTGATTTGGTAGATCTAGGGTGAAGTTCAAGAACTTGCATTTCCAATTTCCAGGTGCTGCTGGTGTTGCTAGACCCTGTGAGAAATTTGCTCTAATATAGACACATTTACCAAGGGTGGTTTGTGACTCGTTGAAAGCTCAAACTCTCTGGTTTAAATTCTAGTGCCCCAATGTATTAGCTATGTGACACTGACCGAGTTACCTACCTTTTTGTGCTTCATTTCCCTATGTATAAAAGGGAGCAATGATAGTGTCTTTCAGAGAGAACTGTTACAACAATTAAATGAGAGAGTGAGTGTAAGATAGAGTCTCAGTTGATCACATCTTTGCTAACATTTGGTGTTGTTGCATTTTACTTTTTTATTATTTCATCAATCAAAGGGGTATGAAAGACAGTCTTACTATATTTACTGTTATATTTAAAATAACCTTTCTAGGTAAATGTAGGCAGATGATTTCAAGTTGTGTAATGCATGTAATTGCTCCTAAAAATTAAAGTCTATATTGGTGATATTAATGGCTATTCTCTGGTTGAGGAAAAAGACACTCATCTTGATTAAAGAATTACTCTAATAGAAAGGATATAGGAAGTGGGTAATATTTTTTCTGACTTCTCCCACCACATATGCTTTACATATCATAGAGCTGATTCTCATAGCATTCAAAAGAAATAGAAGAGAGTCAGTATCTATTACTTATAGCAAAGCAAACTTAAAGGTTGAGGGACTTGTCAAAAGATTGAATTGAGCTAGCTAAACAGCTAAGAAGTTATTCATTTCTTGAGTACCAATTTTGAATAGGAATTATGTATACCTTTCCTTTTGCATGGAGGGAACTTACCCCATATATCCACCTGGCTCAGTCACTCACTTTCTTCAAGTTTTTGCTCAAACATTCTCTTCTCATAAACCTTCCTTGATAACACTCCATCTGTGTGTGTGTATGCATGTGTGTGTGCATTTGATAATGTACTTAATGCTCTTATACAAAATATTAGATGTTATTAAATATCAATGTATACTTACAAATACCATGAGAACAAAAAATGTTAGGTTTTTTTAAAAACAAATAATACATTAAATCACTTTGTGTTTATTACAGTATTTTCAACTGGAATATCTTTCATATGTAATAATTCTCTGGGTAAATAAAAAAATCTCCAAATATTTTACATGACTTTATTATTTTAAGAAAAAACATAAGCCTCCAGAATATCTTTTCATCACATGGTTAAATTTTATTAATAAAAGGATAATAGGGTAACTGTAGCAGTGATGTCAACTAAATTTTTGGTATAAAAAAGCAAAAATTGGAAAATGAATATAGTGATATGTGAATAAAACCACTAAGGCTACATTGTATGTAAAAAGTGGTCCTGAGTAAGGACCATCTTTGGAGAGTTCTGGAGTACTCATAAATTGTCTTTGCTCAGAGTAGTTAAGTTAAGGCTGGATAATTCTTTCTGCAATGGCTTCCACATGAGGTCTTCTGCAAAGCAACTGACATCTTTCAAGTCACTGCAGACTTACTAACAAGTGGGACTTAGGAAAACATGTTATTTTTACTATGCATCCCACAGGTACTAGAATATACTTTTCTTCTCTCATCACAGTTCAGAATGCTTTTAACTTGATTTAAGATTCATTAATTCTAACATGATTTTAAGTATCTTTCTCTGTGGCTGTTATTTACCTTGGCAGTCTTTAAGAATCTGGGTCCTGTTTTCTATCTCTTGATGGATTGCCACTCGAGTCAAAGTCCCTGTGGAGTGAAAGAAAGTGGTTAAAATTGGAGAACACTGTTTTCCTTTTTGCCTTTAATTTGCCAATTAAAGGAAGAGGCACTCCATCTTTTCCCTATACCAGCGTCACAGACATGCTGCAGCTACCTTCCCAGCGCCTTAATGTACTCAAGTGCGGACCCGGGTGATAATAAGGTCCCATTACTACCACTTTGACTCTTTTATGTACTGCTGGAAATTTTTCTTCTTAATTTCACAGTTCAGTGCCACTCTTTGGATTTAGTACTTTGAAATTTTCTCTCTAGTTTATTTTCTGAACTACTTTTTCTAAGTTTCTATCCACAATAACTTCAGAAAACTGTCAGTACTTCTATTTTTTTTCCCCAAAATGCACCTCTTTTGACATTATCTTAGGTTGTACTTAGCTCTTAAATTGCTTTTCTCTACTTAATAGTTTCATATATATGTTCAAGCGAGTATCTATGGAAGGTCTAGGCACTGTGCTATGTATTTGGTTAATGTTTAATTTTCCATCTCTGTTGTTTCGTTCTGGTAAACAAAGTGACAGGTTTCCTGAAAATTGAAGAGGACCACCTGTTATAAGGATAATAAGTTCTTGGAAAATTAGTTTAAATCTTTTGCTCAGGATAGTAACACCGAGCTTAGAGGCCAGGGATTCAGAGTTTTGTCCTCTCTTCAAACTCCTCTGTTATTTAATTTTATTGGCGAGTCTGTTAGCACATGAGAGCCCCCTCTGTCAAGTAATAACGCTTGAATTTCTTATTGAAGAGTCTGTGTGGTGTCAAGTAAACCTGTTATGTTTTAGAAGTTTATTATTAGGGGAAATTACTGTGATTAGTTATAATGTTGCAGATTCAAAATTTTAACTCACATTCCTCTGATGTGTAAGGAAGATGAGCTGCTTTGTTTTTGTAATTGATCTAAGCTTCCTCAAGAGGCTCTATTCCTCCGTTGGAAAGTGATTTGAAAGTGGAAGTGGCTGCATCGAAGAGCGAAGAGGGAAAGAAATTCTCAACAAGGCAATCAATGGCATTTCTCTTAAGCTTTAAATAGTGTCATTGGCGGCATGACTCATTCTCTTTTTAAGGAAGTCTGTCTTTTACATTACCTCTACATTTCCCTGTTTCTCTCCAAGATGGTGCCTGGGTATGTAGATTTACATGGTTAAATAAAGACCTGGTTTATAATGATTAAAAAAACCTAACAACAAAAGCCCTGATAATTCTCCTGCCCCCCAAAAATACCCATAATACAGAGAACCTATGACGGTACTCAGTTACAGAATAAGAATTAAGGTTACAGATTGAATTAAGCTTGCTTATCAGCTGATTTGATGCTGAAGCTGAAACTCCAATACTTTGGCCACCTAATGGGAAGAACTGACTCATTGCAAAAGACCCTGATGCTGGGAAAGACTGAAGGTCAGAGGAGAAGGGGATGACAGAGAATGAGATGGTTGGATGGCATCACCGACTCAATGGTCATGAGTTTGAGCAAACTCCAGGAGTTAGTGATGGACAGGGAAGCCTGCCATGCTGCAGTCCATGGGGTCGCAGAGTCGGACACGATTGAGCAATTGAACTGAACTGATCAGCTGATTTAAAATAGATTATCCAGGATTATGTAGGTGGATTCATTGTAGTTGTAAGGATCCTCATAAGCGAAAGAGAGGCAGGAGAGTCAGTGTCCAAGTGATGCAAGGTGAAAAATCCCTAAAGATGGCAGGGGACCATGAATCAAAGAATGTGCTCAGTCTCTAAGCTGTAATAGGCAAGGAAATGTATCCTCACCTAAAGCCTCCAGGGTAATGTAGCCCTATCAATACCTTGATTTTTAGCTCAGTAAGATCCACTTTGGATATCTGACTTTCAAAATTGTAAGATAATATATTTCTTTGCTTAAGCCATTGTTTGTGGTCATTTGTTACCCCAGTAATGGTATGCTAATGCTCTTCCATATCCTCTTTACTACTTCATGTAGTGACTCAATCTAGTCTGACTAATGACCACTGAAAGTGTTAATTGCTCAGTCATGTCCAACTCTTTGCAACTCTGGATTTTAGCCCACCAGACTCCTTTGTCCATGGAATTCTCAGGCAAGAATACTGGAGTGGGTTGCCATTCCTTCTCCAGGTGATCTTCCCTGCAGGGGTTGAACCCAGGCTTCTTGCATTGCAGGTGGATTCTTTACCATCTAAGCCACCAGAGAAGCCCAGTGAAGTAGCTTATTTTCAGGCATCATGCTGATTCTTATCACTGGAGTCTGTAGTCTTCTCTGATTGTCTCTGACACAAAGTTTCTACATTTTTGTCTCTGTGTTCCAGCCTACTGGTCAGCTGAAGACCTCTACTTCGTCTTAGTCAAGGAGGACATGTCCATGGTATATGCAGTCTGTGGAGATCCAGAAACGATGCTTAATACTCATCTATCTGAACACTTCTCTTGGCTGTGCTGAACCATCATCCTATGGGTTTGGCCTGGGCAAGCCTATCTGGTAGGGCTTTGAGTAGAAAGCTCAGCAGACCATGTTTTGGTTCTAGGTTCCTCATCAATCTGTCTGACATATTTAGGAAGGTCAGGCACATGGTTCTATCTGCCTCCCCTATCACTGTCTCCTTTCCTATTCTCATAATATTCTAAGCTTGAAGAAATGTGCTTCCCTCACCAATCTTTCCTTTTGTCATGATCTGAATTCCCTCCATCTCTGGTTTATAGATAACAAAATCCATGATATAGTGGGCAAACTTAAATGTTATTGTAGCAGTTAAAACAATTTTTTAAAAACTTTTTCAAAAACATAGCCAGATTTTCAAAATTGTTGTTTTGATATGGGCTGAAGAATTTTTACTCCAGATACCAACACTAGAATCTGACTTCCTTTTTCCACTGCATACATGTTGCACAATCCTGATCCTTCATGAGACAAATTCATGCCTCTAGAATGTTATTGATGAGGATGGCCAAATAAAAGAAAATTAAAAGGGAACAGCCCTTGGATATCATTCTCTTTACACCAAAATATGTCAGCATTTTTGGTATGTGTATGTACTAATTATTGCAAAAGGAAAGAGATTACATTATACATTCTTATAATGTAAGAAATAGTGGTGAAGGATAATACTTAAAATGCTTTCATATACTCAAAATGAGTATTATTTACTCTGCTTGTTATTAAATTTTAATTAAATTAAGTCACATACTTCAGTTTTAAATTAGGAAATTCATGAAAGCTTGTTAAATGTAGGCTCTAAATATGGTATTTATTACATCAAACCAGTGATAAACACATTCCTTTAGATTATTGATTAAACTGATTTTATGGAGTTATGGAACTAGTAAAAACCATAAGAACTCACTTAATATATTCCCTTGAATCCCTGAAATACCATTTATAAACATGCTCAAAAAGGTTGCCTTCAATCCTATAGATAACAGCATCATTCGCTCAATGTTAAGAAGGTATTCTAAGCAAATGAAAGCTTGCTCTCCTCTGTCAGTTGTATTTCTCCTATTTTATAGCTGTTGATAATTGAAGATTATTTTATCTGTTTCTTTTCTCTAATTTCTTCTTTTGTAGAAGAAATTCTTTTTTTTTTTCTTGAAAGATAAGTCAAATATATCTAATTTTGCTGAAAGACTAGATGGTAACAATCATGAGCATTCAGTCTCAATAATATTAAATAGCCCTTTCATGTACAGCCATTACTAGATTATCTAAGGTATTAGAAGCAAGATAAAGCAAATTATTGGCCAGTTTCATAATGGTCCTGACTTCTGCTCTACACATTCTCCATTAATGATACTACAGAAAGCCATGGCTTTTGGAATTAATCTCCATGTCCCCATTTCTAGATTTTTCTTTTTCTGTCAACCTCCAAACCCATATTTAAATACCTGTGAGATATCTCTCTACCTATCTTACTTCAAGTCTGATATATCCATTTGGCACTAATACTTTCACTCACTTTACCTCTTAAATTTTCTCCTTTCTCTTCTTTTTGATATTTTAGTTTATGGTTACTATTGCACTAGCCATTCAAAGTGGAAATCTCAGTTTTCAGTATGGTGGCATTCCTGGATACATGCTAAGGCTCTGGAGACAGTAGAAAATCCAGCCAAGATCAGCAAAATTAACTCACAGTAGCCTGCCAGATGAATGCAGATAACTAAATAAATGCTATTGTTGGAAACCACTAAGATGTGAGTGTTTGCAAAACAGCAATGGATAACAATACAACTGTTTTCCCCTTCTCTCCTCTTTACCAACCACCCCCCCCCCCATATCCAGTAGGTTACCAAATCCTTATTATTTAACCTCTAGTGGTTATTTGAATCTTTACTTCTATTGCCACCACCTTAATTCAAAGTCTCATGCATGTTTTTCCTCTTAAGCTATTGCTGAGTAACAATTATTGTTACCTCAACTTGTAGTAGTAATATTTTCACTTCTATCAAATCTGCTACAGTAATCTAAGTGGCCATATAATGTGGTGGTTAGTTACATTTTCATATACTGGATTTGAATCCCAGCTCTGCTGCTTAGTAGCTCAGTCATTTGGGACAAGTCAGGTTACTTCTCTTGCCTCTGCTTTTTAATCTTTGACATTGGTGTACAGTACCTGCCTCACAGGGGCTTCCCAGATGGTGCTAGTGGTACAGAACCTTCCTGCCAGTGCAGGAGACATAAGAGACTCAGATTAATCCCTGGGTCGGGAAGATTCCCTGGAGGAGGGCATGGCAACCCACTTCTGTATTCTTGCCTGGAGAATCCCATGGACAGAGGCTAAGGTCCATGGGGTCCAAAGAGTCGGACACAACTGAAGTGACTTAGCATGCATGCATGCACCTGCCTCATAGAGTAGTTGTTAATATTTTCTGAATTAAAATGACTCTGCCAATACTAATAGGCAATGAGTGAATATTATTATTAAACATTCATTGATCATGTTGTTGTAAGCATATTTCATGGAATGCATTTTGAATAAATTGTTCCCCCAAAGGATCCCATTATCAAATAACTTTACAAGCTATTACCAAGATACCACTTGGGAAAAGTTGTAATGCTGAACTGTCTACTTCAGATTGGTGTTTGAAAAACAGGAAACTAGATTCAAGTGCTGTTCCTGGAAAAAACTGATCCTGCTGGATTGCAAAAACAGGCATGACAGCAATAGAAAGAAAGCAGGGAGAAAGCAGAAAGAAAACAGAAAAGAGCAACCCCTGATTTCTTCTCTCCCCTTGCAGTTTTCCTCTAGCACACCCTCATGTGGAGCCAGCTAAGTGAAGAGGAAGATTTCTTATAGAACCTCTATATCTCAAAGTCTCTTATATCTCAAAGCATAGTATAGAATGATTGATTTAGAGTTGAGAGACAACTGATAGATAATTTGCATATAGTTTAAAGAAACTATCTCAAATATGGTCACCTTTAATCATAAGTATGAAATTGAGAAGAAATATAAACATATATAAAACTCTCTAAAAGTGTTAACAGATAAATATTAAGATATTGACAAAGAAGTCCCAAAATGTTTTGAACAAATTTCTTATCCAATGATGGATACTAAATATATTGCTTCAGAAACTGAATATTCCTATTAGAGCACTTAAAAGTATTTCAAGTAAATCAATAATCAGAATTTTAGAATATTAATTATGCAAAAAGTATGTTTTAGGAAATTGATTTAGGGGAGATTACCTAGTTAGTCTTCAATAAATATTTACCATTTATCATCATTTTTATTGCTATCATCATTCATCGTAATTATCTATAGAATGAAAGTCCAAGTACATTGGGACACTATAGTTGATTTGCCAATCTTCTATATACTTTCCACTACCAGTACTTTTTTCATGCTTTTAGCTCTACTAGAAGTAACTGCTTAACATTTTTAGCAAACAGTAACTAATCCAAAAATTCTATTTGTTTCACTTTGTTTATGAAGATTTTCCTGAAGCACTTTGAGAAAATTAATATTTCTTCTTCTGAATTCTCACTCTGTACTGCTTTATAATTTCACCTACAGCATGGTACTAGAGCCCGGTGATTTTGTCTTTCTTTTTTCTTTTTTAAATTATTGGGTTCTTGGATTCTTAAAAGCAACATCTTACTTTTCCTTTTGTTTCCAGGCAGAAGCATAATAACATGAACATAGCAGGAACTCCATAAATGTTAGTTTTAAAAAGGCTAGAGCATTCTTTAAAAATTAAGAAAGTAATTGTCATGCTAGAATGTGTATTTTCCATCTAACACAAGCGTCCACAAACTGTGGCCCTCACATGAGCAGAATCCAGGTGCCTCTGGCTTTGGTAAATAAAATGTTATTAAAACATAGCCAATATTTATTCATTTATGCATTGTCCATGGTAACTTTCAAGTTAAAGTGGCTACATTTAGCAGCAACAGAAGTTTTTATGGCCCACAAGACTCAAATTACTTGTTATCCACCTATTGCTGTGTAGGCGGATAACTATACGAAAACTTGCTGCCCCCGAACGTCTCATTGTCATGAGAGATGACAGGTCACTTAGCCTGCTTATTGTTAAGAAACATAAGACTCCAAAGTCTTTCATTATAGCTCCCTCTTAGGTATCTGGAGAATGTAGAAAGAGGGCCTAGTTCAGGAAGGGTACTATCACCATAGATAAGTACAGTATGGCTTGGTGTGATAGACAGGGAGGAACCTGGCAAACTCTGGTTGTTAAAATTCCTCTGTGTGCTCTTTGTCTCTACCTGCCCAGCACACATTTGTCTGCCAGACATTTGCTTTTCCATCTTCATGTGAATTGCCTTCCTCCCCTTTGAAGTCCCAAACCACTACTCATAATATCCTCTATATCTTTAGCTGAAGGTAGTAATTAAGGTGAGGGTTTCCACTGTTTTGGAGAGTTGCTTAGTTTTCCTGGGTCTCTCTATGTATGCATGTTATCAAACTCTCCTTTGATTTTATCCTGTTATTCTGTCTTGAGTCAGTGTAATTCTTAGGCCAGCCAGAAGAACCTAGAAGGATAGAGGAAAATTTCTTCCTTTCAGACAGCAGGAGAAGTTAGCTTCCACAGATCTTTAGTTACAAAGGCTTTATTAATATTAGAGTCCCTCCCCACCCCAGACTGAAAGTTGCTGGGAAATAGTAATTCTGGGAAATCAAGATTGACTCTTTGAAAGTTGATTAACATTAGATAAAATTAGATGAATATTAGATGTGAATTCCCACAACTTCACAGACTCTCTTCTCCATTAATTTACACCACTTCTACTTATGTTTTCTTTCCACAAATCTTTCTACCCATAATGAAGTGCTTTCATTTTTATTTAATATGACCCAGTTCTCAATCATAGATTATTATCATTATTATTCAAATCAAAGCTAACAACCCTCCTTTCTCCTTCTCTCCTCCAGTGAGTCAGCACTTCTTTAATAATCTCAAATCTCCAGGATATTTACTGACATCTTCGTATCATCACTCCAACCTCATGAATGGAGCTAGAAGATACTACAAGCGCTGCCGGAAGTCCGTTGCTACAGAATCAGCCGCCACTCTGGTATGATCCCCAAATGGTGTAAGCAGCAGTTATCTGGCCAATGCAAAGTGATTCTGTCTTCATTACTGTCATCATACTTGCCACTGGAGTGTGAATCCAGTGGAAATAACCTGAGAACTGGCCCTGTGTGTGTGGCAAGTCACACCTTGCCTCTCCCCGCATAACTGTGTCTAACTTCCTGATGGTGAGGACTCTTCATCTGAGCCCTGTGACACAGTACTCTTATCTGAAACACTTGTCTGGCCCACAGTGTCAGTCTTGGTGCCAAGGACTCATTGCAGATCCAACACTTGAGAACCTTCATGTCTCATCAAATGAATGGTCCAGTTCTGTTTCTTGCATTGCTTCAGTGGTGATGTCATTGCCAGAATGTCGGGCAGGACTTATGTTTTAACTATGGGCAGCAGGGAAGAGAAGGCCTGTCCTTCAGCTCATTCCAGACAAGGCAGGCCTGGATTCAGAACCTCTTGGCCTTTTATTTACAGTCACATACAGTGTATTTCCTCAGCAAACTCACAATTCTCTGATGGCCATTCAATAAAGGTGTGCAGATTTAGCTATCCATCTGTCAATTAATTATCAGTCCTCATAAAATTTTGATCTTTGTTAGTTGCAAATCTAGCTGTATACTTCCTCCATGGACTTGTCTTTTGGCATTTTTTTGTCTGTTTGTTTCAGTTTCTTTCAGATAACCTATTTCAGGGAAAATCTCAAGCCTTCAGAAATATTCTGATAACCCTAACTACCCAGAGCAAGGAATTTTCATTTCTAAGATTTCTCTTTACCCTTTTTGCATGTTTGCTTGCTATCTTTTCAACAGCTTTAGTCTCTTGCAAACCATTTGGTTAAAGATAGGCCTCCCATTGTTAAGCAAAAAAGAAAAAACACACTACTTTATTATAACGTTTTTCTAGAACAGGGATGCCAATTTTATATGCTGTAACCAATGGAGTGATTTCTCTTATCCCCGAACCAAAGAAACTGCTCTGAATTAACTTGTTCTTTTAGCATGAGGGGAAATACAAATTGAAAAAGCACCTCTCTGTAATAACCATCACAAAAAATACAGATCACCCTTGACTGACATGGAGGTCTAACCCTATAAACCCACTGTGAATTGAAAATACCCTAAGTCAAAAATGCACTTAATTCACTTAACCTTCTGAACATTGTAGTTTAGGCTAGCCTACCTTAAATGCGGGGCTTCCCTGGTGGCTCAGATGCTAAAGAGTCTGCCTGCAGTGCAGGAGACCCAGGTTCAATCCCTGGGTCGGAAAGATCCCCTGGAGAAGGAACTGGCAACCCACTCCAGTATCCTTGCCTGGAAAATCCCATGGATGGAGGAGCCTGGCAGGCTACAGTCCATGGGGTGGCAAAGAGTCGGACACGACTGAGCGACTTCACTTTCACCTTAAATGTGCTGAGAGCACTTGCATTAGCCTACAATTGTGCAAAATCATCTAGCCTGAAACCAGTTTTATGATAATGTGCTGAATGACTCATGTTATTTATTGAGCACTATACTCAGAGTGAAAATCAGAATGGTTGTATGGGTCCAGAATAGTTTGTATTGGTTGCTGACTCTCATGATGACATGGCTCACTGGAAGCGTGGCTCACTGACCAGCATCAGGAGGAAGTATTGCATATTGCTAGTCCAGGAAAAGATCAAAATCCAAGCTATGGTTTCTATGGAATGCATATTATTTTCACACTATCTTAAATTTGAAAAATCATAAGTCAAATCCTCAGAAGTTGAGAACCATCTATGGATATGCTCTGCCATTTCAGAAACACTGCTATGTAAAGAAACAAATAGAATTTGACAAAAGATACATGCCAGAGATTATACAAAATGTCCCTCTCTAAACAAACATATTTAGAATTAACTCACTGTATTTGCACAAATATTTAGTCATTGGTTTTGAGCAACAAATTTTTCTAATCCAATTCTATGGGCTTTGGCTTCTTTTAGTCACCCAATCTTTGTGGGTTTTTTTGTTGTTTGTTTGTTTTGTTTTTAAGTTTCTTCTTTAACTCCTATCTGGGGTTTGTTGAATTATGTTTACAATTATTTATATAAGTTCTGGATTTAGCTTAATATTGTAAATATGTGATTTTTAATCTAATTTTTGTATTAAAAAGTTAAGACCTGAAGAGTGTCTTAATGAATTTACAATTTTGAATTACCTACTTATCTTTGTCATTAATTGGTTTGTTACAGTCTCAAAGAAAATTCCTTAGGAATTGGGAAAAGAAAGTCCAAATGACAGTGTGCATGCTCTGTCTGGTAAAATCTCCTGGCAGGAATTGTTTGTAGGAGTAAAAAGCAATGGCTGCCTAGAAACAGATTAAAATTGCACTATAAAAATAATTCAAGTTTTGTGTTTTCAAATACATATTTTCCCCTACACTGTCTCTTAAAAATGAAGCACTTTCTTTTATCCAAGTTAGTCACCTTTTAAAAAATCCGTGTATGGTGAAACAGATCACCAGCCCAGGTTGGATGCATTAGACAAGTGCTCGGGCCTGGTGTACTGGGAAGACCCAGAGGGATCGGGTAGAGAGGGAGGTGGGAGGGGGAATCAGGATGGGGAATACATGTAAATCCATGGCTGATTCATGTCAATGTATGACAAAAACCACTACAATATTGTAAAGTAATTAGCCTCCAACTAATAAAAATAAATGAAAAAAAAATCTGACTTATGGAAATTAAAGGCCTTATTAAGCATTCTTATAAAAAAAAAAAAATCCATGTAGAAATATTTTATGATACACTAGCCTCTTCTTCAAGATCTTAGATTTTTGCTACTGGTCTGAGCCATGTATGTTAAGATTAGTTTTTCTTTGCTCTTTTCATATTTTTATATCCTTCTTATTTAGTCTTAAAGGTGAGAGAGGTCATCTATCTATAAAATGTTTGACAAGTCACATTCTTCTGAATTTCAGTTTTTCTTATCATTTGAACAAAGGAATTTTGTGACCAATAATTACTTATGAATTGATTGCCCAATAATGTCTGGTATATGTCTAAACTTAAAATTAGACAAGTTTTATTGAGAATTAAAAGATATTGGAACTTTTTACTGATCGTTCAAGAAACTAAAATGTACTGTAGACTACCTAAAACATATGTAGCAGAAATGACAACTCCTAGAGATTTTAACCTTACCACTACTTTGGAAGAAATTCATAACAAGACAGGTAAAATGCAAATAGTCACTGGGCAAGAAAGAAAATTTGAACAGATGCTGTGTAAATATCATCAAGCACCAAGGGAATGAATCAGGGAAAGCTTGTGAAGCAAACAAACCTGTAGTCCAAAACTTAGCAAAAAATACATTAAATAGTTAAGGAAAACTCATAGAGAATATGTGCATGGCACAGGAAGCATCACATAAATATTAGGAGATAATGACAAATGTGTTGATGAAATTCTAGCCCAGGAACATGGTAGACCCATATGCCTCCTTAATCACTGATTGTTGCCTGACCTCTATGCTGCATCTCATTTTAGCTTTCATATAATAGAAAGGAATGAACAGTGCTTGGTGCTTTCGTATGTAATTTCATTCAGTTTTCAGACCAACCATAGAATAAGGTGGAAATCATTTCTATTTTATAGAAAGGAAAATCTGGGGCTCACTAAAAACTTAAGAAACACAGGGATGTTATGCAACTAACAAGAAAACAGGTTAAGAATTTGAATCCGAGTGTGTCTGATGTCTAAATTTATTTTACCACAATGACTTTAACAATGATGAAGATATTTAACTCTGTTCAGGTTAAACTTCATTTTCCAAATTAGTGAAATATAATTTTTAATTCTGAGATCCACATTTTTTCCACACTTTAATGCAAATCATGATCTGTCTTGACAATTAATAACATGTCATGGTTTAATTAGAAATAACATTAAATATCTTAGTGGTATATATGGCAATTTTTCTTTTTTTTTTTTAAATCATAGTATTTCAGATACATTGAAGTACCATAATTTTTTCCTTAGGATTGAGATCAAACAAAATAAACAGCAGCTTTATTTCCTTAAAGTTGGCAGACTAAAAAGTTCAGGCATGTGCTTCTGTGTTCACAAAACAATGAGTACAGAATCTATGACCCTCTTCACCATTGCCTGATATTTATCAGTAAAAGCAAATGAACAGGGAGCCTAACCCAAGGAAAGGAAGCACTGCTTAAACCAAAGTGTTTAGGTTTAAGCCTCATACCTCTAAATTATTACCCCCTCATTAAAATCTTCTGGTTTTAGGTAAGGCAAAAATATTATTATTAATATTAATAATGAAATCTTCTAAACTTTGCCCTGTGAGATTTAATAATGGTTATGACCACTTACGTTAAACACAAATTGAAAGTGAAATTATAATTTTCTTTAATAAACTATACTTTTTTGCTCACATAAAAATAATTGCTTTTAAATTTGGTATAGTATAGGTTATGGTTAGCCCTACGAGTAAACTGAATTGTCTGTACTACCTAACCCTGCTGGGTCTAGTCTCGGTTCATTTCAGTTCAGTCAGTCAGTTGTGTCTGACTCTTTGTGGCCCCATGGACCACATGGGAAGCAGCGCGCCAGGCTTTCCTGTCCATCACCAACTCCCGGAACTTACTCACACTCATGTCCGTCGAGTCAGTGATGCCATCCAACCATCTCATCCTCGGTCGTCTATTCTATTCTATTCTAACACTCAGTAAATATCATGTTCACTTAAAGATGAAATATCAAAGTCTAAGTTTTCCCCCTATGTCAATAGGTGGATAGAGGTATACTATACAGAGAGATTTTTCCCAGACACCATTGACTTTATAATAAAGATGAAAAAAATAATAAGCCAACACTGTAATGTATTGAGTACTTTCTGTGTGCATTTTGCCTTGTACTAAGATTTTACCCTTACTAAATCCTCTCAAAAATCCCGAGCAGTCATTATTATCTCCATTTTACTAAAAAGGGAAATCAACTTAAAGACTTTAAGA